GCCAGGGTCAGAGCCAGGGCAGAACCCAGGGGTCCAGGCCCAGCACTAACCTCACCCCAGTCACTACCTCACATTGCCTGACATTTGGTCCCCAAGAGCCTGCCCTGAGGCAGGAAAGATGGGCATTCCATGCAGGCACCTGGGTTCCTGGGCCCATGTGGCATGAGTGGTGTAGTCTTGGTCAGTGAGCAGACACCAAGGCCAAGTGGGAACAGGTAAAGGGTGCCTGGGCTTGGTGGGGGAGGAGCGGGAGAGGAGAGAGTCCCAAGGATCCCTGTCTCGTGCACCCTCCCTGCTGGCCCGGTTGCAGAGGAAATGCTGAGGTGCCATCACAGGCACTGATAAGAGGTCAGAGCAGCCACTCTGTCCCATGTTCATCTCTGTCCCAGCTGACCAACAGCTCTGGGCAGGGCTCCTGTGGGGTCTCAGGGACAATGGGTCCAGACCCAGTGTCTCTGACCTCCCACAGCACCAGGCAGATGACACGTTCAGCTCAGGCTGCTTGCTGCACAACCCCCTTGCCATACACACAGCCTGTAAGGTACAGACCACCTTGTGTATGCACCACACCCCACAAACACGTTGTCTAATGCGCGCGCGCGCGCACACACACACACACACACTGTGCGATGTATACCACCTGCTGTACACACCACACCCCCACATCGTCTGATGCACACACACATTGCATAATGTATACCAACTGCTGCATGATGTACACCACCTGCTGTATACACCACACCCCCCACATAACGCCTGGTGCACGCTCATACACACACAGTCTGCTGCACATACCCTGCTATGTATACAGTCTGTAAGGCACACACCTGCTATACATACTGCATCACACACCTTACACACACAATGCCTCGCTCATGGCACCCAGACCACACACAGGTTGCACAATCATCCATGACCACAAGGCCAACGTGTACCCAGAGCCCTCAGAGCCAGGCCCCCCAGGACAAAGTCAGAAACAGCTCATCCCTGCACCTCCCCCTCGGCCCTTCCAGAACCACCCAAGTTACCAGGACCCTGCCACACCTCTGCTGTCTGGTCTCCTCCGGGGCCCACCTGACCACTGTCCTGCCTGGCCTGGAACCCACTGGCCCAAATGAATCTGTGACCCCCAGACTGAGCTCCAGACCCTCACTCCCCCCTCCTGGAGCGAAAGGCCGAGCAGCAAGGCCTGCCTCCCATCCCCCTCCGCTCCCCCTCCCTCCAGAGGGAAAATGTCAGATTCCCTGTCTCAGTGGTGGCAGCGGGCGGGTTGGAGGGGGAGTGATTCAGCCGCCTCACGAGTGCGCAGTGAGAAGAGCTTTTCCTGCCATTACCCAGCGAGGGAGAGGCTGGCTCGCTAATGGCTTCAATTACCACTCAGACAGGAACGCTGGGTGGCGGCTCTGCGCTCCTCACAGCTCAGGACAGGCTCACCTCCAGCCAGCATGTGCTGCTGAGCCCTGGCCTGGGCATCCCAGGGCGGCAGGGCTCTCCCTGGGGAGTGGGCGCAAAGGCCATGATCAGGGTGCTCCCGGAGCCACCAGGGGGGCTGAGTGTGAGGGGAGCTGGGCCTGGTGCAGAGCAAGGAAGGGCAGGAAAAACTTGCAGGCCTGAGCTTTTAGGGGTGCACCAAACCTTCACCTGAGCCAGGTCTCCCTAGGCAGCCCTTAGCCACTCCCCTAAAGAGCCCAGCTTGTGGTGATTGGCCCCAGTCCAATGTGTCAGTCATTTCTATACACACGGGGAGGGGGGGCTTTCCTGGCCAGCACAGGCCAGGAGGGGCAGAGCAGGGTGGGGTGATGGGGCAGTCCTAGTTTGGGCTGCTTTCCTCTGGCCCCACCCCCTGGCATCTTTGAGGCCTCCCACTCCACTCCTTTCTGCCAAGCCCAGAGCTGGTCAAGGTTACACAGACGTGATAAGTCAGCATTTCGTCTTCCGGGTGCTATGTTTCAGGAGCAGGAGGGGTTCCTTCAGGCCCACAGCTCCACCCCCACCCAAACAGGGACCTGCCCCACACCTCCCCAACATCATCAGACACCTCTCATAACCTAGAAGCACAAACATACCCCAGACTCAGCTAAAGAAACCCTGATCCAAGAAGGCCCCTCTGGATGGGAGACCCCCCTGCAAGTCTGAATCCCCTTCACCACAGGCCCTGGAAGACCATCCTCAGCCTTCTCCAGTCTTTAAAAGTTAAAGTTGCCTAGGGCAGTGTTGGGGTAGGAGAGGGCCCAAAGAGGACCTTGGGGGAGGGCCAGAGCTTGGGGAGACTTCTCTTTCAACACTGACAAGGAGGCCCTTTCCCTATACGAGAGCCTGCGAAGATGCCCTCTACGGTGGGAGCCAGAGTCTGGCCCTTCAGCCACTTCCCAAATGCCAGGGCAGGGCAGATGGCTCCCTGCTGGGGCAGAGACAAACTGGAGAGAGGGCAGTGCTGAAATACTCATCCTCAGGTCATGAATGGGGAACCTGAGGTCAGGGGTGGCTGGGTCAGGACATGCAGCAATCAGCGACCCTGGCCCAGAACCTGCCTTCTGGGCCCCCAGCCCACAGGTAAGTACCCCCATGGGAGTACAAGGAGGGGCTGTACCACCCAGATAATGCCAGACAGCACAGAATCCAGGCACTGCCAGCTCAGCTGCTTGGGCCTCAGGATGTGCAGCTTCTAGTCCCACATTCCAGCAGCTACCGTTCACGATGGACTCCTGTGCTGTGCTCCAGCACGTCACACACTTCATCCTCCAGACCGGCCTGGACGGTAGGTGTTACATCTCCACCTGCAGATGGAGCGAATGCGGCTCCGAGGCACAGTTACATGCCCAAGGTCACAAGGTGAGAGAGCAATCGGTCAGAGCCTCTGCTCTTAACCACGGTCCTCCGCTGCGCCTTGACGCGGCAGGCCCCGCCCTGTCTCACAGGAGACAGACCACAGGCAGTACTGACGGGACGCGTGTGTGAACCTGTAAAGCCACAGTGTGGAAATGGCCACTGTGAAAAGATGCTCAACTGCTCTTGTCATCAAAGCAATGCAAATCAAATTGAGATGCCATTTTTTGCCTATTAACTTGGCAAAGATAGTTTTTTAATAATTCCCACTGCTGGTGCGGATGCGCAGAAGAGGCCCTCTTATGACCTGCTTGGTGGGAGTGTAAACTGACACCGTCTTCTGGAAACACTGAAAGCCTTAAAAATGCAGGTGCCGTTTTAAGCCAGCAATTCCGCTTCCGTGAATCTAGAATAAGGAAGCAATCAGGAAGGGGAACACGTCTGCAAGGACGTGGATAACACCTATTTATAAAGCAAAAAACTGCAAACACCACGTGTTGTGTCCAACAATAAAGGAATGGCTAAATAAATTAGGGTGCTTCCATGTGATACTTACCACAGCCATTAGAGACAATGACGCAGACGAACAGTTAATGAAGAGGACGTTCATGACAGGTTTTTTTAAAAGCAGCCGACACCCGGGCCAGTTTGGCTCAGTGGTCAGAGCGTCAGCCACAGACCAAAGGGTCTCAGGTTCGATTCCAGTCAAGGGCACGTACCCCAGTCAGGATCGTGCAGGAGACAACCAATCAATGTCTCTCTCTTACATCGCTGTTTTTCTCTCTCCCTCCCTCCCTTCCTTCCACTCTATCGAAAAATCAATGAAAAAATATCCTCGGGTGAGGATGAACAAAAAATAAATAAATAAATATAAAAAGTCTACAAATCACTGGGCAGAATGTGACCCACTTTGTTATGTACATAAAATGCACACACAGGGAACTAACCCGACATTAACAGTAAGAAGATAATTTCCTATGTGCTGCTCTATACGTATCAAATTTGCAATAGTGAACAGGTATTGTCATTGTAATTTAAAAAAAAAAAAAAATCAAACTATCAATTTTTGTTTTGTTTTGTTTTGTTTTATTCCTCACCTGAGGATATTTTTCTACTTATCATCAGATAGAGTGGGAGGAAGGGAGAGAGAGAGAGAGAGAAACATCGATGTGATAGGGCCACATCGAATGGTTGCCTCCCACACAACCCCGACCAGGGCCGGGACAAACTGCAACCGAGGTACATGCCCTTCACTGAAGTCAAATCCATGACTCATTGGTCCACAGGCCGACGCTCTAACCACTTAGCAAACCAGCCAGGGCGATCAATACCATGTTTTGAAAACAATGCAGACATATTCAGATGGATGAATCCATCCTGGCTGGGGGCTGATCATGTCACTCCCACCCTGTGTCCCCAGGAAAGTGATGAATTGTTCTCCCCTCTTCTCTCTCTGCCCTCCAGGTCCACACACCATCCAAAGAGCTCCTTCTCTCCTGCCTCTGGGCCTTGGCACATGCTGATGCTGTTCCTCCTGCCTAGGGCCCCATCCAACTCCCATGTAGTCTCAGGACTCAGCTTAGACAACAGCTCCCTTCTCCCCTGTGGCCCCCCAGCCCCCTGAGCTGCCCCACTGCACTTTTTAGAGACTGCAGTTCAGAGGGCCTGGTCAGACCACGCTCTGGGCACAAGGCAGCATTAGGGAATGTTTGTGAATGAATGGAGGAGCCACTAAGTGAGAGAAGACACTAAAATCCACACACAGAGTCCCAGTCCCCCATCCAGGGCCCCTGCCACAGGAACAGAGATCTCTGAAGCCCACCGGCAAGCTCCACAGGAAAATCCAATCCATTCCACAAGCCATGTAACCCAAGCTATACACAGCTGCAGCCCCCACCTCAAGTCAGCCCCCAGATCCCCCCAGATAAATGCTCCGTCTCAGCAGGAGAACACAAAGACATGAGGCACACGGCCGGCCTCAGCACAAGCCAGACAAGCCAGGCCAGATCCAATGACCATCCCTGTCTATTGCGGACCTTCGTCAACCCCAGCATGGCAAGTCCTCCTTTCTGCCACACACACAGCAGCCCATGGCAGGGACAGGCCTGGCTGGCTGGTTCTTCCCAGACCGCAGTCTGCCCACCCCCCATGCCACGCCCCTCCAGGGCACGCACCTTCCAGCACTGAGAGCTTGGCACTGGTGTTGATCTCTCCCAGACTGTTGGTGGCCGTGCACTCATAGATGGCTTCATCTCGCTGCACCCGTAAAGGCTGGATCCGCAGCACGGACCCTGCCCCATCATCAAACTCAATGACCTGCCAGAGGACAGAAACCTGGTCACAACTTGCTCTGGGTCAGCCATCCTCCTGCCTCCAAAAGGCCCCCGGGGGAGAGAGACCAAGGGGAACAGATGCAGGACCAGACTCTGGTATAGGCAGAGCCCTGAGCCCTGCCTGCCACTTCCCACCCAAGGACGTACCTCGAAGCGCTGGGAGCTGACTTTCTTCCCCTTCTTCATCCATGTGATACGAGGCTTAGGTTCCCCTGTGGCTTGGCACACGAAGGAGGCCACCCCTCCCGACAGCCCAGTCTGGTCCTCAGGGACCTTAATGAAGACAGGTTTGCCTGGAGAATGGAAGACAACAGTCACCACAGGGCAGTCACTACAGACATGGCCAACACTAGGTGGCAGTCATGGGGATAGGGTCGTGGCAAAGAAGATCTATAGGAGTAACAGTAGTGAGACCTAACCCTTGCACAGAGCTTAGTCTGTGCCAGGCACTCTGCAAACAGCTGTAGGCATATAAGGTGGCTTCTAAATTATCTCTGCTTATAAGGAAGAAAACGGAGGCACAGAGAGGTTAAGGAATTTGCCCAATGTGACACAGCTCGTTAGTGGCAGAGCTGAGATTTGAACTCGGGCCTTCTGAGTCTGGAGTCAGTACTTTGACCACTACACATTTGTCTCCACCCCCCACCTGCCCATCAAATCCGAGCTCTAGGACAAAGGCGTGCTGAGAGCGGCTGGAACAGCCCCAGCATCTCCCCACACTTGTTTCTCTCCCACTGCTTTCCACCTTGGTGATGGTACCTCCTTCCACAAGGCTCAAGCCAGATACCGTGACTCCTCCTCTCCTCCGGCCCCCACATACCAGCAGACATTCCACCCCTTAAGTATCTCTGGGCGGCGTCCCAGGTGAGTTGCTTTCCTGTAAACCTGCCCCTGCACCCTGCCCCCCGACAGGGTTATTGACTTCTGACAGCCTGGCTGTCTCCCCAAGTGTCCACAGGGAGGCAGGTGGAGGGGGAAATGGGAGGGGCTTCAGACACTGTACTGCCATACCCACATCACCAGGGGCCCACCTGGCGCACCTGTCCCTATGAATCCCACCACCCAGGGTCACAAGACCAGAGAAACCCGGCCTTCACTAAGACATAGCAACACCTCGTTAATCCTGACAGCAGATCCATTTCCTATTAATCAGGCCAATGAACAGCTCCAGGAAGGCTAATACCGTGGGAAATGACCTTTCAGTCCACCTGCTCAGTGCTGATGCACCCAGGCTTGGCCCGGCGTCTGGCACAGAAACGCGTGTGTGCAATGACGACAATACTTCGCTAGGCACCCACTCTGCACCAGGTACTTTATCGCACTTAGTCCTTCATCAGTATCCCCAGTTTACAGGCTCAGAAAGGTCAAGTCACTTGTCCAAGGTCACACAGCCAATGAGTGGCACATCTGAGACTGGAATTCAAGCCTGTTGGATTTCAAAACCCCAGGCACAAACCAGTCCCCACGGTATGGTTGGAAGCCAAGAGCTGGGTCAAGAACAGGGTCAGTGGTGCGGTGGGTGCCCAGGCCAGACCAAAGAAGGTCGAGGAGTGGGTGTGAGGTGAAGCAGCAGAGAGGAGTTAAATGACTCTAAACAAGACTGACTATGACGGGGAAGATAAAGAAAACATGGCACCTGAAGAGAATTAGGGTTGGAGGGGGTTTTTACATTTTTGTTTCTTTTTTCCCCCCTAAGATGTGAAAAACAAGTGTTTAAATGCTGATGGGAAGAAGCCAGCAGAGAGGAAGAGGGTGCTAATCCAGTGGAGAGAGGGGGACAGCGGATGGGGCAGAGTCCCTGAGGAGGGGAGGGTCCCGGGGAACACCAGGGTCGGGATGACAGCAGCAGGTGCAGAGAACAGGGAGGGAGCCTTGCAGGGAGCAGCGGGGAACCCATCTTACTGAGCAGCCCTGGCCCAAGTGGGTCCTAGAGATGTTATGTAATTATCAAGCCAATCACTCCCCATCTCTGAGCCTCCACTTCCTCATCTGCAAAGTGGTGCCAGGGACACGATCTGTGCAGACAAAACGTGAGGACGTCTGCACACTGCACAGGCGCGTGGTGGGCCTGCGAGAGGGTGGCCACCACTCTTGTTCGCAGTGTAAGTCTTAACACAACCCCGTGAGGTAGGTGGTATCGTCCCCACTGCTAAAGGGAGGCTCAGGAGGTCCCATAAAGGACACGACACAGAGTGACTGGGGGTAGAGCCAGGGTTTGATCTGGTGTTCCAAATCCTAACATCGGGCACTCACCTGACTGTTCCTGAAGTAGCCAGAGGAGCCAGGGACAACTCTGGTGGGGAAACACACACACCTGGCGGGGACCAGAGTCGCATGGGGACAACACATGTGTGTCCCTCCCTTCGCTCGACCGTCCTCTGAAGGAGGCTTTGGACTCCCCCAGTGTGCAGCCTCCCTTTCAGACAGGACTGTGCCCACCAGGCTCCACCAGGCTCCACCAGGGTGAGGGCATCTCCTCCCCGACCCTGAGGACCTCAGACGGCAGCTTCTGCTCCCCTGCACTGCCACCACCGCAGCCCAGACACCGCCTTCCCTGAACTGGACCCTCCACCGTCACAAGCCTCTAGTCTTGCCCCCTCCAATCTATTCTTTATTTAGCAGCCAGTGCGAACTGATAGCCTCTCCCCCTGATCAACACTTTCCAAAGGCCTCCCGGGGCTCTCAAAACAACATTTCAACTGCCCTGGCAGACAGAGCCCTGCCGGTCTGACCCCAGCCACGCCCCCAGCTCCATCGCCTGGATAAGCAGTGTCCCCTGCGGCCTCAGGACTTTTGCACAGGCTGGTCCTCTGCCACAGATCTCGCAGACTGCTGCTTTACCCACTAACTCCTGTCTACCTTTCTGAATTCAATTTAAAAATCATTTCCTCAGAAATGTTCCTCGGTCTCCCTGCCACTGTCCCCCACTCCATTAGCTCAGTTCCTGGCTTGAAGCTTTCTGGGAACTCCATCTGCCTGTCTGGTAGCACTGCCCATGGTTTGTTAGGTAGGTGTGGGAGGTTATCACTTTTTCCACATTTGGGGAGTATTTGAGTCATGGCTGCTTCCCCACCTAGGACAATGGCCCTGGGCAGGGCAGACACCGTGCCTCCCTTGCCTCCCGCCCTGTTCCAGTCCCAGCCCAGTTCCTGGCATGCAGGGGAATGGAGCAAATGAAGAAGCCATAGACAAGAGAAGGCCTGAGGAGGAGGGAGTCTGCAGCCCCTCACCCCAGGGGGAAGCCCCCTCCCCAGGGAGAGAAGTGGGGTAGAAACTCTTCTAGGCTCCAGAGTAACGTGTCTGCACAGAAACACAGAAACCAGAGGCTGGAACCTGCCGAACCAGAATGTCCAGGCCAGAGTGCCTGGGGGCGGGGCGAGGCCTCAGCGACAAACAAAGAACCAGAAACTGGGGAGTGGCTCTCCGCCAGGTACCGGTCAGGAGAGAGTGAGAAGGAGAAAGGCCTTCGTACTATGTGGAGGCTGGACTGGGCCCAAGGCCTGGGGCCACAGAAGAGGCAGAACACCCCTAGGAGTCTGGAGTGGGGCCAGTGGCCCGCTTGGCCACCCACCCACCAGAGTCTGGCAAGACCAAGGAGTACAGCCTAAGCCCAGCGCCGCCCAGGGCGCTGGTCCTTCCCCTCAGTCTGGCCTCCCTCGGCTTTCCTCAACACCTCCCCAAATCCCCCCCAGCCGAGGGCACCTCACACAGCCCAGTCCTGGCCCCTTTGTTCCCCAGGCAGACCTTTGGGTAGCAGACATCTGACCATGGCTCTCCCCAGCTCCAAACCCGGGGTTTGTCTGCCCACTCCCCCTCACACCTGCGCCTGCTAGCCTCTCCAGGCCCACCTATCTTGCTTGACTCTTTCAAAAGAGAGCATCTGCCGTGGGCCACGCACAGCTCAGCCCTACTGGACTCGCCACTCTCCTCCATCCAGGCCCCGACAGGCCAGGCCTGGGGGCACCTCCTTGCATGGTGTGCCCTGCCCCTCTCAGGCGGCCCTCCCCAGCCCGTGGGAGCCTGCTCTGCATCCAGAGCCCTTGGTTTCCTGTCCCAGCGCTGACCGTCACGTGCCATGTGACTGGTCAGGTCCCCAGGCAGGTGGACAAGACCAAGTGATTTAACCACTCGGTCCAGTGCTGACCCAAAGCTGGTATTCAGTGAGTGTCTGAACAGAACTTCTGGGCCACATGCCAGGAGGGGCTTTCTGCCACCAGAGTGTGACTCCCTCAGCCTGACCCCCTCCCCTGCCACAGAAGAGGCATAGCCTTTGGACAGCAGCTTCCAGGAGCATGCCCTGGGCACACTCTGGCAGGTGGGAGGGCATCGCTTGTGAAAGGAAACAGTGGGCTGGCCTAGTAGTGGGTGGGCACCCCCCAGGATCCAGCCCTGGGGACAGCCACACTGGGCCACCTCCAAGGCTCCTCCACAGGAAACTGCTCTTCTGTGCCTTCCCTGCGGAGTAGCCACACACACTACACAGGCAGACACGGAAGCAGAGCAGCCTGCCAGGCAGGGGAGGGAGTTCCTGGAGAGGTGATTTCCCAAGCCCTGAACCGCCCAGTGAGGGGGGACTCATTACTGCTCGCTCCTGTGACTGCTCCTGCCCCCCCAAGCTGGCTCAGAGACCACCCTGGGTTCCTGGGGACACTCAAAGAGCCCTAGGTCATGGTCTCTGATGGGGGGAGCACATATTAGGTACCAGACACCTGGAACAGGTGCCCTCAGTTACCCTTTCCAGGTAGGAGTGATTAGCCTCATTGTGCAACAGGAAAACAGGCCCAGAGAGAGAAAACAACCTGCTGGAAGTTCTGCCGAGGGCAGAGTCTAGACGGGACTCCAGGCCTGCTCCACAAGGGGAGGGCACTACAGGCTGGTGTGTGGCACCCGGCCACGTCCTAGCTCCACAGGCTCTGGGGGGCAGGGGGGAGGACAGGACAGACCCATCCTCAGCTACTCAGGCTCTTGTCCCCACCACCTGCCCCTCCAGCCATCAGGCATCCTGCTCTGGGCTCCTAAGATTCCAAGTAACTGGTCCTGCACCCCTGTCTGTCCCATGTGGTCTGGGGACAAAGGGGGCTGGTTCTCACTGCGGCTCTCCCATGAGCTCCATGGAGGAGCCCAGGCCTGTCCCTTCTTCCCCAGTCTCACCCATTATGGGATACCCCCACTAGCTAATGCCCACTCACCCTTTAGGGGCTCCCCTCTGCCAAGAAGCCTCCCAAGATGCTTAGGTCACTGCCTCTGCCGGTGTGCTCCCAACAGACAGCAGTGACCCGCAGTGCAGGCTCCGGGCAGGCCTGCGCGTTTCTCCGTGTCTAGACCTGACCGCGAGGCCTGTCAGCAGAGAGCTCCTCCTGCTCAGGACCACCTCTGGTCCCAAAGCCTCCCCGAGAAGCCACAAAGCCCCAGGCTGCGGGAACTGCCCGAGCCCCGGGTGCCAGGTCTCCGGCGAACCCTGGCAGCTGCTTCTCCACCCCTCCCTCTGCTCCCTCAGGGGCCAGGGCCCCCATCCATTTGTCTTGTTAAGAGGCCTATAGAAGCACATTTGTCCGCTCCGCGCTTCACTGCTCCGGTCGTCAATTCTCTGGGGTGCCTGCCCTACCTTTTACGGCAGCCCCGTCCACGTGTGCTGCTGGCCCCTGGCTAGAAGTCTCCCAAGCCCAGCTCAAGCCTGGCCACAGGCAAGGGGACAGATCCAAGTGTGCCGTGTAAGGCAGGCCTGGAAGACAGACTGTCTCCCCAGCCAGGTCACCACGGCCACGGTCCAGGCCCGTCCTATGGCTCTCTGCCTGGGAGCAGAGTCCAACTCATCCATTTCAGGGTCTCTGGCTGGTTCCTACATTCAAGAACCTGACCTCTGGGCTCTGGTTCTTAAGGGACCAGCATGAAGGTTCTTGGACTTTGCTCTAAAAACTGTTCTGCTCTGCCCCAATTCCTACTGGGGGTCCAGGCCTGACCCCACCCCTTCATTCACCTACTACATTCCAGGACCTGAGCTGGACAATGGCCTGATCCCCCAGAACTCGCAGCCCAATGGGACAGGCAGACTCACCATAGATGGTCACAATCATGCAATCCAACGGGTGCAAAGAGGAAGAGCATATGACCCAGGCTCTGGGAGGAGGTGATGGCTCCAGGTGAGTGGGAACCAGTCAGGTGAAGGGGATGGGAAAGAGTGTTCCAAGCAGAGAAAACGAGGAACACAGGCCCGGGGAGAACACGAGCAACAGGGAGAACGCGACACGGCAGGGTGTGGGGTGGGGTCAGAGTGCAGGATGACGTTGGCAGATGCTTGACAACACAGGGCCTGAAGAAGGGCTGAGACCCCTAGGCTTGATCCTGAAGGCAACAGGGAGGAGAGCGAGGTGTTTTAAACACGATCGGGCTTTCGCTTTGCACGGGCCTCTCACTGGGAATGAAGAATGGGTTGTGAGAAGATTCTGCCAGCAAGAAAGCTATCAGGAGGCCCTGCACACAGAGGCCCAGACCAGAGCTGAGGGTGGCTTGGGTGAAGGGAGCAGAGACAGAAGTGGATGCATTCCAGAGATATTTAGAAGGTCAAAACCACAGAACCTGGTGATGGATTACATGGGGGGTACGAGAGGGAGGAGGTGGGGAGGAGGCCCAGGCTTCCGACTTGGGTGGCTGGGTGGGTGGTAACGCCATTCGCCAGGAGAGAAACCACAGGAAGACGAGCAGGTTTGGGGGGGATGAGATGAGGGGTACAGGTTGGGGCACGCTGGGTCTGAAGCAGGGTAGAAAGGCAGTTACTCTCCCAGGATGTGTTGACTCCGACAGCGCAGTTGGGCGGTCCTCCCTCTGCCTTCGAGGGCCCTGTCTGAAGGCCCTGCGAGTGTCCAGGGTGGGGGTGGGGGAACAATATCCAAGGGCTACAATGTCCAACGGCCACTGACCACACCTAACTCTTGACAAGCCTTCCCCTCCCTGCCAATGTGGGAGTCACGCCCGATGACTTCTACCCCAACCTGCCCCTACAGGCTCAGGCTCTCTCCAACCAGGCCTGGAGATCACCCCCACCCCCTACCCCTGCCTTACTCCAGCTTACACCTCAACGCTCCCATCACCCCTCACCCCCATGCTCTGGGAGGTATACCCTCCCCTCCTTCTTGCCCTTCTAGCCCCACCAGGGCCCAGCTGGGGAGGACAAAGGGCAGGAGCTCCAGTCCAACCCCTCTCCAGATCTGGTCCTGAATAATTAATGAGCCATTAGGAGAAAGGGCCTCACTGGAGCAAGGAGAGAGCTTTGCCTAGAGACTTGGAGAGGGGGTTGTGGAAAACCCTATGGCCTGCTGACCCCCAGCGTGACCCCAGGGTTGGCCCTTAGCCACCTCCGGGCTCAGAAGAGGCTGGGAACAGCCCCTTCCCCCCAGAGACCTTGGCTCCGACCTCGCCCCTCCTCCTCAGTGTGCAGATTGGCTAAATCAGCCCCGTGCCCCGCCTCCCACCAGTAACCAAGCAGTGGTAACCATGGTGACGGGCGGCCAGTCTCACAGTGCCAGACAGGGGGAAGGGCGGCAGGAAAGGGACCAAAGTTCGGAGTTGGATCTGGGCAGGGGACAATCCCACCTTCCCCAGTACACACAGGGGTGCTGGAGCCCAGCTTCCTCCTGGCCAAGTGCGACCTTCCCCAGATGCCCCTGCTGCGGGCCTGGAGATGGTGGGGGGGGGGCTCAGCGTCTCCACACCTGAATCTCCAGGGGCTGGCCCAGGGGAAGAGCTAGAGTGCTCTGCCTTCTGAGTCTTCCCTGGATCTGCAGGCACATGGGGCATCCTATTCCCACGTCCACACATTCCTAGTGCGTCACCCCCCCATTCCCACACCAACTCTGACATGGCTCATGCTGGGTCTTCTGCACAGATCTGCAGTGGCAGACATAGTACATGCCCAAGCACGTCATCCGATGACCACATGAATCCCAGACATGTCTAACTCCCAGCCCATAAAAACAAGGTCACGCTCAGACATACCCAACCCTGCAGTGCCTTGGGGCCAGGCAGGCCCTGCACAGGATGCATGGGGGCTGGGCACTGCTGGGATGGACCTCTCCGTCTGAGAGGTTCCCTCTAGGACAGAAGGTCTAGAGAGGTGGCTAGCTATTCTGTCTTTTCTAGTAGTGGGTCCTTTTCCCATCCCAGAGTCCTGCTAGGAGGGATGCTACCTTTTGACCTGGGAGATCCCACACCTTGAGGGGTCAGACTTACTGTCGCCATGGGCGCCTGCCACCAAACCAAGCATCACAAGTGCAGGCACAAGGGGCACCATCGTCCTCCCTGGGGCTGGTTCAGGGGCCATCCAGAGCTCCAGCACCACGGCCAGCCACAGCCCAGGACAATCTACCTGTGACGGAGAGAAAGGGAAGCTAGTTAGCTGGTATCCACTGATGTCCCACTGCCCACCATGCCACCTCCTGGCCTTACTCACCACCCAGACCCCCATCATCCTCACTACCATCCAGCGCCCTGTTCAACAGACCCACTCCCTGGTACTGTTCAATGATCACTTTCTGACCCCTGTGACCATCAAGGCTCCTCACTGATCCCCCAGTGACTCCCAAAATAGCCCAATTGTCACACTTTAGGGAGAGAGTACAAGAGGCCTTTAGATCAGCCCCTAAAACTGAATAGGGGGACTCCTGAAAACAGACGGTGTGCAGGGATGCTCCAATCCCAGATCCTGAATTTCCAACTCGCCTCCATGAGGGGGCAGGGACAGGGGACAGGGTCAGAGATACACAGAGACCCAACAAAACAAGTCAGAGACAGGGATGAGGGAGAAGTTCGCAGACTCACACAGGCTAGGGACTCCGGAGCCCCCGGGGCCCCCTGCTCCCCCTCCTCTCTCTGCAGGGAGGGAACAGGCAGGTAGCCAGGCCCCACAGGCTGAGTGCAGACCTGAGCACAAACCTGACAGTGGCAGACAGGATCCAGGCATCAGAGACTTGAAGTCAAAGCCACAACCTGTCCCGACTCGCCAGGACACGCTCTCGACAAGTTGCTGCTGCCCACCTGGCCACCCTCATCCTACCCAATTCCCATGGCACCTTCCCACTCCAAAGAGAAACTACAGGGAGGCCCTAGTGGCCAGAAGTGGGGGGTGCTGAACCCTAGATTCAACCCGTACCTCCTCTCCTTGTCCCAGCAGGGGCATGGGCAAATTCACAGAGCCACGTGCTCAGAAGCGCTGCCCAGTGAGGCGAACCTGGGCATGAGGAAGCACATTTGGGACTGACAACGCCTCCAGGCCTTTGCTCACAGGCTCCGCTCCTGGTGTTCCCTCCCCACTCTGCCCGGAACCCAAGGGAAGCCCTCACGGTACTGCGGTCACAGCACGCAGTACGGGTACACAGCTTTCACGGCCCAGCCCCAGGGGGCCTCCTGAGGGCCTCTCTCCCATGTCCCCCACAGAGAGGGCTTCAGGGGATTCACACCAGTGCCCACCAGCTTTGCTCATACCTTCCTCTGGGCAGGAGCTGGCACACAAGTCCCTCATTGATGCTGTAAAAATGCCACAGGACATAGAAGGGGAATGAGTGACAGCGGATATACCCCAGGGCCCTGCAGTGGCACCCACGGACTCTGGAGGGAGAGCTGTGATCAGCCAGGTGCCAGCTGACCCACAGTGATAAGATTTGCAAGGAGGTGGCAGGACTGTGAACAGAAAGGACAGGGCTTAAAGACAGCTCTGCTCCTTCCTAGAACTTGAACCCTAGTGTCAACTGAGATAAAGGTCATGAGATCAGAGGACAGCAGGTGAGCAAAGGTGCTGGGGCACAGCAGGCAGGACTGTGAAGTGGAACAGGCGCTGACCACAAAGGGAAATGGGAGCTGTCTCTTGTCCCAGATCTTGCCAGAGTCTGAGACAGGAGTTGAGCAGCAAAAGAAAGTAAGTTGAAAGGGGTATGGTGGGCATCCTGCCCCATCTACATCCCAGCTGGGGTCCTCAGTGATCACAGAGCTCAGATGGTGGAGACCAGGAGAGAGAGAGAGCCCCCACAATCACGCCCTCCCTTCACGGCCAACGGGTTGGAGGTCACACACCACAGGCCCTGTCTGGGCTCCGTCAGCATGGCACTGTGGTGCAGCAGTGCAGCCAACAGGAGTCAACACCCAGCAGGCACTGGGCAGCAAAATGCCCGTCCAGGCTGTTGTGAGGGTCTGGCCCCCTGACGCAACCATCCTGTGGCCCCTGGTACAGATATCATGGCTCATAGCTCAGCAGAGTGTTGCCCCCAAAGGACAGGGACAGAGGGACCTCATACAGATATCACGGGGGCAACAATACAACATTCACAGAGGTTCCACCTCAAGTAGAAGCAGCTGGTGTGAACCCGCTCAGTGCAGTTATCACAGGGACTTAACCCTCAGGAACATACATCACAGGGGCACAGCTCCCTGGTGCGAACATACAGAACATATTATGAAGGCACAATTACACAGTACAGTCACCCTGAAATGCAACTCCCCAATACAATCATCAGAGGTTTACTCCCCTGTAGCCGCCTTGGTACACACAGCAATGTAACTAACACCCAGGTGCAGACATCACAGAGGTAGAGCTGTCTGGTGCAGACATCGTGCAAGTGTAGCTGCCTGATAGACAGTACAGGTGTCTAACTCTCCAGTACTTTATCCAGAGGTGTCACCCCCGGTTACAGACATCATGGAGGTGTCAATCCCTGGCATCAATACGAAAGGGTTTATACACAATACAGCCATCATGAGGGTATAACCAGAGCAGACATCGTGTCGGACAATCCTGGATGAGATTCTGACCATGGGTGGCAGAGAACCTGGGCTTCTGGTAACCCCATCTTGATGTGATCACGTGGCTCTTACCTAGGGACTCCAGGGACCCCTGTGTATCTGGGCCTGGGGTATTCATGAAACTGTTCAGATCCAAAAAGCAGAACAGACAAATGTGGAAAAGTTGAAAAGACATGTCCTACCCAGAGAGCTCTCCCAGCAGCCCACAGACACAGAGACATGGCTGCCCAGAGAGAGGGACACACGAGGACACAAACAGGGACACATTCTGGAGGAACTACTCAGGCAACCACATAGCTGTCCGAGCCGGGGCCTCTCCCTTGCCAGCTCCTGGCATGAGCACGCTGCCCTCCCAACCGACTGTGGGCACAGAGCCTGTCCCGGGTCAGGCAGTGCGGGCTGCTCCCAGCTCTAGAGCCCCCTCGTCAGCAGTCCCAGACCCCCAGGCTGCCCCCACTCGTGCTCAGGGTCACCTGTGGGGAGACGGCAGGAGAGAGCAGGGAGGCAGGATGACGCTAACCTTGCTGGGGAGGCGGAGACCTCCCGCACGTGGGCCAGGGTAAGAGCAGAGCGTCCCTCCGCCAGCCCGGGGCGAGGCTGGGCTGCACCCCGAGGTGAGGCAAGGCCTGCGCTCTCAGGCTGTCCCTGAACTGCTCTGTGGACCACGTTCCCGTTAAGCAGACACAAATGGGCAGGAAAGCAACTCACTCTGTGCGATGCTGTAGAACATGGTTGATGTAGTTTTCCTGCACTCCGAAGGGCTCTACTATATCCTTTCTCTTCGCTACGTCTGTGCAAAGCTGCCAACCACCCTTTTCTTCTCAAATTTTGTCCTTGGTGTTAAAATGCCCTTTCTTGTATGAAGTGATGGCGATAGTAGATCACAGTAATTTATATATATATATACACTATCCTTACTTGGCAAAATAAAAAATTGCCAACCCCATGTCTGGCCCCAAGTACTTTTGGAAACTATACTGGTTTATGAAATCAAAGACTCAGAGTCAGGGCTCTGAGGTAAAAAGGAGGAGGAGCAGGCACCCCACCAAGCCACAGGACTCAAATACAATCGTCATGGAAATGCACGTTACAGAGGTCACGTCGCCTCCATGCCAGCCCAACCTAACCACCCCGCAACCCTAGGGCCCGCCCCCAGAGACTCTGCCTCCAGAGATGGGGTTTCCCTGGCTGGAGAGCAGCTGGGATCATTCCGACCTCCTCATGAATATGCAAACACAGATTGATTTGTTTCCCTTGGGCACATGTTATTATTCACAAATATTAATTAATCTACAAATACCACCTGTTCCTCCAGCCTCCTCCCCGCCTCTTCCCCAGGCCAGGACCCCGGTTCCCAGGAGGCTGGGGCACCTAAATGAACAACAGGAGGAGGGGGATCCAGGGCCCCGCGGAGCGCAGCGCTGGCCCGGGGGAGAGGCTGCGTTTGAGCAAGAGGAGCTTGAGGGCAGGAGAGCTGGAAGCGGTTCCTCTCATCAGCGGCAGCTAAACCGAGCCCTTTTGTCACGTCCTGGACAGTTCACCGCGCGGCACTGCAGCAGCGGCCACGGAGGCGGAAACAGGCTTGTTACACTTGGGAAAGGAAAACCAACATGTTTCCAACTCTCACCAAACCAACCGCCGGTTATGACTGGAATAAATCACAGGCTCAGCCCAGACCCTGGCCCTGGGGAAGGACGGCCAGTTGGCCAGAGTCTGAGCGCAGCCAGGAGCAGCCTGCCTGCCCTCCCACACCTGCGCCCCTTCCCCATCGAAGCCCTCACCCCTAAGAGTGGATTAGAGTGTCCCAGAGTCTCTAGGGGGGAGGGGGACACAAGGTCCAGCAGAGGCTTAGCTGGGGCAGACCTAGGGGGCAGCAGACGGGGAGTGGAGCTCCCTTAGAGGAAGGCTCACCAGGGCGGCCGCCTCAGGGCCTCTGCACTCGCTACTCTCTGTTGGCAAGAATGCCCTTCTCCTGCCCCCGCCACCTACTCACCCTTCAGAGCTCAGCCAAAGTAGCCCTTCACTGGAAAGCCTCCCTGACCGGCCCTCCCCAGTTTTCCAGATCTGTACAGATGAGAAAGGGCAGCAAGAGGTGACAGAGCCCAGAGGTTATCAATCCAGGGTGGTTCTTTCCCGGCTGGGACGTTACACAATGGCTGGAGACACCTGTCAACACTGAGGACAGGGGTGGGGGCAGGTGCTACTGGCATCTAGTGGGGAGAAACAGACGCTGCTAGATATCCCACAGACATCCCATAATAAGAGGTCAATGTCAACAGTACTGAGGCTGAGAAACCCTGATGTAGACAACAAGAGCTTTTGCTGTTGTAGCCTAGGGCCTGCCCTGGCCCCTGCTCCAGAACCCGGTTCCCTACGAGCAGCCTGGGGCCCATCCCCAAGGAGGCCTCAGCCTGACTGAACTCTCTTCTTAGCTGACCCTGGGCCTCAGGGTCTCAGAGCCACATGCCAGCAGCAAGTGGCCTCCCCAGAAGACAGGGGTTCCACTTTCAGGCACCTTTTCTGAAAACACTGGGCTCCTAGGTAGGTAAGACCCATCATCTCAGAATGGACAAGTGAAAGGATATTCCCACCCTCCCCATCGGACCCTGGTAACCTGTGACAAGTCACTTCCTGCTGCAGTTTCTAAACAACCCTGATGTTCACCTCACCACACAAGACCTGGCCTCCAGCAGACACCCAATACACGCTCACTTCCCTCCCCTGCCCAGGCCAGACCCTCTCTTCCATGCCGTCTTCATTCAGCCGTCCATGTAAACCGTTCAGTGAGCCCTGCTGGGCCCTGAGCCAGGAGGCAGGGTGATGAACAAGACAGTCTTGGGCCCTGCCTTCAAGAAGCTCGTGGAGGATGGTCCTCCTCGGTCCCGCTGCTCCTTCAGGTCCCCACCTCCGTGCAAGCACCACCATGACCTGGCTACCCAGGCCAGCCAGTCCTCCTCAAATTCTCCCTTTTCCTCATCCACACACCCAGCTGGTCAGTAGGACTGAATCTGCCCAGCACCCGTCCCAACCACACGTTAGTAAGAGCGCGTCACTGCCCACGTGTTTTTTTAAACCCTCACCCGAAGTTGTACATGATTTTGAGAGAGAGAGAGAAACATCAATGTGAGAGAGAAACATCAATTGGTTGTCCCCCATACACACTCCAACTGGGGATCAAACCCTCAAACTAGGTATGTGCTTTGACCAGGAATCGAACCGTAGCGTTTCGGTGTATGGAATGACTCTCCAACCAACTGAGCCAACTGGCCAGGGCAACAGCCCACCCCTTCAATGGGCTTCATGCCTCTGGTCACTGCCTTCCAATCCAACCTGCATACAAACCAATGCCCCTTTTAGCTCACAAAAATGCACATGATTGTGTCCCTCAAGCACACCTTGTTTGCTGCTTCATTCCACAGTGAACACACCATGTTTCGTAAATAGATAAAAGGACGGGGAAATGGGCAGACGGCTGCACAGATGTTGTTTCTCTGCTTAGGAACCTCCAATGCTTCCATGTCACCCTCAGGAAAAAGTCCAGTCTTTAGCCTGACGTCCAAGGCCCATTCAACTCCGACCTCATTCCCTACAGCTCCACCCCACCACTTGTGCTTCTAGCAGAGAGAGAGAGAAGTGGGCCTCCAGGAGAATAGGAAGGATGTGCCCTGGATCCTGTGGGTACCCTACTCCTACCACAACTGACAGTTGATGAGAACAGTCTTTTCTATAGAAACAAGGTAGATGGAAGAGCAGACAGATCCCAGGATGTCACCCAGAAGTCTATTTCACACCTACAGCAGCTGACAAGCTGTATATCAGTCCCCACCCAGCTCCATCACCCATTCTGGTCAGAAACCCGAGAAGCATCCCTGACACTTCCCCTCCCTCATGCCCCACATTCAATCCTTCGCCGTGTCCTGTCCACTGCACCTCCCTTCTCTCCACCTCCATCACTGCTTCCTTGGTCCAGGCCTCCACCATCTCTCAGCCACACACACACTGGATCATGTCATGGCCCTAGTGACAACCCTTCTATGGCTCTCCACCAACCACGTCAAAATCCAAGCTGCTCAGCCTGGCCCACAGGACCACTCTGTGCCCCTGCCCCGCACACACTGGGCACACTCACCAGGTCTTTGCTTGCTCACACCAGTCACTCTTGGACAACCAGCACTGAGGTCAGGGCACCGGAACCTCCACTCCTTCCTAGAGAGAGAGAAAGGATGAGAACATAAAGAATTTCATCAGAGCAGAGTAAGTACTGACACAGAGAGACATTCAAAATTTGCTGTTTGTGCAGTTGGGGGAAAGCCGGTTACGGAGCTGTTCGTGCAGGACAACCCCATTTAGTGGTAATGCCCAGCGCTTCACTCACTCACACACTCCCTCGCTCCTCCGGTACTCCAGAGCACCTACTACGTGCCAGGCTGTCTCCTAGCCACCCAGCACAGAGCTGTGAACAGACGAAGTCCCTGGCCTCAGCAGTAAAACTGTGTCCAACCACCTGGCCAGCGGAGCAGTTGGCCGGCCCACCTCTGCAGCCCCACCTGCCCATGCTGCCCCCCCTCTGGCCAGCCAACTACAAGAACTTCCTCTCCTGACCCTCAGCTGTGCCACCCTTCCGGCCTATGCCATCGCTGGAAGGCACTAGCCACATTTTCCTAGCCAGTCTACCCCTCAGGTCTCTGAGCCAAAGGCACTTTCTCACTCGATGTCCTAGACCGCATGCCGGACCTTGCCTTGGAGCGGCGAAGCCGTGACCACAGATGTGATCATTTATTTATTTACACATTTGCTGAGTGGTCGCTGAGTCACACCCAGTCCAGCTCTGAATCCCAGTACCCCGCAGAGAGCTGGCACATAGTAGGCGCTCCACTGAGGTCTGTGGAATTAGTGCACAAACGCATGAACGCGTACACAGAAAACAGGCCGGCTTCGAAGAGCCACACCAGCATACGAGCAGCCTTCAAAGGAGCTTTAGAAGCAATATTTATTTTTGACTTTCTGCTCCTCTATAATTTGTAAAATGAAGGTGTGCCCTGGGTACCTCCTCCGCTGGCACACAGCGCCTGGCCCCTTCCTTCTAGAACCATTACTGAGGCCCCACCAGTGCGGGCACCAGCCTGGGTGGGGGCGGGGCCAGACACACCCACTCCATCTCATCCCACCTCGCCACAGCCCAGTGACTTGGCACGGCTGGTGCCCACTAGACACAGGCTACACTTCGCGGCGGTCTTCTCCTCAACCTCCCACCCCAACATGCACAACGATCCCCGCCCCACACAGCTATGCCATCTCTGCTCCTCCCAAAGCCAACACACAGAGCGGGCTCTGGGAGGGTCCTCAGCGCCCAGGCCAGCCTCCTGGGAACCATCCTCACTTGAGATTGACCACCTCTGCCACCATGGGAGAGGTCACACGGACTGAAGACTCACCAGCCCAGTACCATCTGCGCCAACCTTGTGCCTCTCGCCCTCTCTCCTGCCTCCTTCACCCCCGCCCACAAGCACCAATAGCCCTGGATTCACTCAGGACGGCTCCCCTCCCCCAGACCACTGAGTTTCTCCTCAACGTTCCCTGTGGCCGCTGCTCCGTGTTCACAGGCTGCCAGGCGGGTCTGGCCAGACAAACCAGCTTCCATGTCCCAAACTCAAAGGCCCATTTGTCTGAGGACGCCCGCAGGGCCTCATAGTGCCAGATATGAGGCTGCTGGCTCTACATGTTGCTCAGGGACCCTGGGGCTGAAGAACAGAGTCCCAGGCAAAGAACAGCAGAAAATACTGCCATGCCCATGGCCACACCAGGAGTGCTGGGCCTGGTGTGTGGAGACTGGACCTAAACTGAGCAGGAACAACACCTGGAAAGAGGTATGTACCCCCAAATGGCCTGGAGGCAGTCAGAGAACAGATAAAACAGGCATTTGGAAAGACCCTAGAGTCCAGCTGGTTTGGCTGAGCGTCGACCCATGCACTAAGAGATCGCTGGTTCGATTCCCAGTCGGGACACATGCCCAGGTTGTGGGCCCGATCCCCAGTGGTGGGGCACGCAGGAGGCGGCCAATGGATGTTCTCTCTCATCCATGTTTCTATCTCTCTCTCCCTCTCACTTCTTCCCTCTCTAAAATCAATAAAGGAAAAAAAAATGTTTTTTTTTTTTTTTTAAAAAAAGGACAGACCCTGGAGCATACACAGTATCACCAGGGCAGGATTCAAGAGCAGTGCCTGGAACCACAGCTATCTGGGAGCAAATTGGCCCCCAAACCACCAGACAGATCATCAGAATCACCCCTCAGCTTCACCAGAACCACTCTGGACTCACCCTTCTCAGAATCCCCTCCACCTACACCAACATGGGGTCTTTCCCCAAGGCTTCTTCCTCTAGTCTTCTCAGGCCAACCCATCTGAAGGTCAAAGGTATCTGAGCAACACTCAATCCCATAAACATGATGAGGGACGAGGGCTGGCCACTCCCTTTGTTGAGCTCCCCCAACTTGCTAGCTGAAGCTCAGATTTGCAGCTACTTTAGGTGAGCAGGTTAACCACGTTGTTTTTAAAGCCCCCTCATTCTGATGGGGTGGGGATGCACCGTAACAAGTGCTAACACTGACATGGTGGTACTAGATGCCAGCCTGTCCTGAGCACTTGCAGCACGTTCCTTAATCCTCACAACAACCCCCCAAGGCGCAGAATTTTATTATAACATCTGACAAGTGAGAAAACTGACTCAGAGATGTTAAGAAACTTGCTCAAAGTCACACTGCTATTAAGTGGAGTTGAATCCCAGCAGTTAGAAACCAGAGTCTGTGCTCTTAACAACTGAAGCTTCTTTTTTTTTATCCTCATCAAGGATATTTTTCTATTTATCTTCAGATAGAGTGGGAGGGAGGGGGAGAGAGAGAGAAACATTGATATGAGAACAACACATAGACTGGTTGCCTTCCACATGACCCAACCAGGGCTGGGAACGAACGGCAACTGAGATACGTGCCCTTGACCAGAACAGAACCCACAACTCACTGGTCCGCTGGCCAACGCTCTAACCACTGAGCCAAACTGGCCAGGGCTTTTGATGAGCACAGCTCTACCCTCATATAACTGTCCATCCTTTCTCTGGCCCAGACTTCTCTCTCAAATCCAGATACTCACACCCAATCCCATCCTGGATATCCCCCCACCCTGCCCCAACTTCAAACACTGTTATCTCAAAGGCAACATGTCCAACCATGAGCTCATTATCTGCCTCGAAATCTACCTCCCCTCCCAACTCTCTAGCTCTGTGAAGGCCCCACTTCATCACTTCCAGGAACCTGGACCCCTTCTTCCTCACCCCACATCCAACAAATCTTCCTGTCTTAATAAATGTGCCTTCTAAATGGCTCCATGCTACTGCCCTATCCAAGCTACATCGTCTCTCACCTGACTTACCTGAATCCTCCCCACTAAGCATCCTGCCTCTACCCATTTCCCACAGCCACAGAACACTCTTCCAGAAACAAATCTGATCGTAACACTCCACACCTCCCACCCCAAGCTTTAATGCTTTGGGTCTCCCTTCTGTGTTCTCAGAGTAAAGTCACAGCTACTTCAGAGGGCTTTCGAGGCCCTGTGATCTACTCTCTGATGACCGGCAAGTGACAAGACCTCTGAGCTTTCACTCTTGTACTATCCCCTCCACCGTCCCCCCTCACTTGGAGTGCCCTTTCTTCAATTGGAAAACTCCTATTCATCTCCCAAAACCCAATTCAGATAACCCCTTCTTGGTCTCCTCTGGGACTTATCTCACTTTGACCTCTGGACTCTCCCCTGTGTTATCATGTTGAATACCCCCAACCTTTTAACCTCAGCTCAGAATTACAGCCGCTTTAGGTGAGTTAACGCTGAGCTCAACCTCAGTAGCTACTAAGGGGTGGTGGGCTGCTTCTTCTACACGGCTGTTGGTCCCACAGGAAGCAAGGTTGCCTGGCTGAAAGTGCCTAGCCCAGAGTTTGGCACACAGCCGGCAATCAATAAGGTTACTGAATTACTCTGCATTCCCATGATGCAATTTGCCCCCCCCCCCAATGAGCTTCTCAAGGGCAAGGCCCTGGCTACAGGCTTGGTCCAAGCACACAGCAGTGCCAGTCACACGGGAAGGGAATGCCCCTGCTGCTGATGCACTACCACAGTTTCCTTGGGTCCTCACAACAGCCTTGGCACCTGACCAGGGTTGGATTAGCTACCCCATTTTTACCTATTTACAGGAGGTAAAACTGAGTCTCAGGGAGGAAGGGAGCTCCTCGAGGTCTCGAGCTGGAAAGCGGAACAGCTATATTGTGTGTCACAGCCCTGTGGAGGAGGTCTGAGGTCTGGTCCCACCTCCCCCTGACTGAGGGCCCTCAGCCATGGACTCTCATTAGGGTGAAAGAAGGGAGTGGGGGCAGCACAGATGGCCAGAGGCAGCATTTTGTTGCAGAACAATACAATTTCCAAGAAAAGTTTTAGCCAGTCTCCTCCTGTAGCCCTCGCCCAACCTGCTTTACCAGCACGCAAATCCAGCCTCCTCTCTCAGAAGTCCTGATACCACATCCACCCTCACAGGGTGCACAAAGCTGAACAGAGGAGGTCAGGAGCTGCAGCGGGGAGAAAGACAGGGAGGAAGGAAGGAATGATATTAAAACAACTTCCTTGTTAAAGGGAGGAAAGAGGAAGAACGGTGGAAAAGAAAATACAACTACAGAGAGATTTCAAACAATAAGGGGGACGCCGAGCAAGCAAAACTGTGCAAAAAGTGTGCACGAGAATGCACAATACTGCAGGTGTGCACACACTCTCCCTGGATGTGCACAGTGGTACTGTAAGAGCACAAGCATGAAGAGGTGCATGGCATGCAAGCACAGCAGATTTCTGATCTCTGGCTGCCACGCAGGCCTAAGTGTGCAAGTGTGAGGGTAGTTAGGCAAGTGGATGCATGTGGGGGGTGAGCTGAGTGTGGGAATGAGGGGGGGTGTGAGTGTGTGGCCCTGTGCCTGGGGCTGCGGATGTGGGGGCTGTGCTCAGGGAGTTACACCTGCTCCTTCTTGAAGCTCTAAGCTGGTTCTTATAATCAATGAAAAACCGGGATTTTCTTGCTCCCTGAAGCAAGAGTTGATAAGGAGCCAAGCATAGAATTTCCTGAGATTTCCTGTCAGAACCCTCCTCTGGATCACATCAGATCCCTGCTGCCTCCCAAAGAGGAGGTCCCTCACTATCAAAGACCCCACTGGAAGCACCACCCAGGCTCCTTTTCCAGGCCTCTCACCCCAATGCACTTCCTGGATTCTCCAGCCAGATCCGGCATCAGGTCACTCTGGATCCCTGCCCTTCTCTGTTTAGGAGCCAAAGTGGAGGCTTTATCACCAACACTCAGCAGTCCAGCCTCCCAGGCTCTGCCTTGCTGCCCCAGGGGAATCCAGAGGATCCCCTCACACTGGCAGCCTCCCTTCCAATTTCACAGCTCACATAGGGACAGGGCTCCCACCTCCCAACCTGCTCCACCTGGGGGCCCTGCACTGGGGAGGGGGGATGTTGAAATGGGAAGAAAGGCCAGCCCTTCCCCCACCCTGGGTGGAAGAACCAGAGGGGCAGCATTCCAGAGAAATGGGGAGGGGGCCTACAGAGGAGTGCGGAGACTCGGGTCAGAGGGAGACAGAGACACCAAAGAGACCAGTGAGAGACACGACGGAGAGACCCAGGAAGGGAGACTCAGAGATGGGGCGCGGACCAGAGACCAGGGAGAGAGAAGAGACAGGGGAGAGAGAGGAGAGGCCGGGGCGGGAGAGCAGAGACAGACCCTGAGATCGCGGGGGGCGGGAGTGGGTCCGGGTAGTGAGTCTGGAAGGCAGCGACACAGGGAGACAGAGACACAGAGATGGTGAAGGGCAGAGACGGAGACCGAGACACAGAGGGAAAGAGAAAGAAGCTGAGGCAAACGCGATGAGGACAGGGGCACACCAGGACGGGACGGTACATGGGCCGGCGACTGAGTGAACTTTCCGGAGCGGGTCCGAGTGGACACGTCCTCCCGGGATGGGTCGCTCCGGGGCCTTCAGGTAGTGGCAGCGGGGTGGGGGTGGGTATAGCCCGCTCCGGCCCCTCCCCAGCCGCGCTGGCGATTGAGGGGGTGAGGGTTCCAAACTCGCGCCTGGCGCACCCCGGGACCGCACGTGCGCCGGGCCGCGAGGGAGACGGGGACGCGGCGGCTGCGGATCCCCCGCCGACGGGGAGGGGGCGCCGGTGCGGCGGGGGCGCGGCCTGGACCCACCCCGGGCTGGGGCGGTGGGGGAAGGAGGTGGAGGGAGGTGGAGGGCCGCCCCCGGAGCGCGTCCGCGCAGGTGGAAGAGGGAGACGGGGCGGGGCCGAGGAGGGGGAGCACAAATGCTGAAGGGAAACTTTGCACTGGGGGGGCGCGGGCTGCGGCTCAGGAACGGCGGGGAGGCCGGGCGAGGCGGGGGAGGGTGGCGAGGAGCCGGCCAGCCGGCGGAGGTGGGGGCGCGTCGGCCGTGGGGTGAGCGCGGGGAGGAGTCGCCGGGTTTGGGGGGGCGCGCTGAGCCGAGGCTGCGGGCGCGGCAGGTGGGGGCGCGGCCCGGCCTCAGAGGCGCCCCCAGCCCCCCGGGACCGCCCCCAGCTCCGCTGGGTGGACACGGGAAGAGGGCGGGGGTGTGGGGAAGGGACGGATGCGGAGGGGACTGTAGGGGGGTCACTCACCGCCTCTCCTGGGGCCGTCGGTCCGCATGTCCTCCCCAAGCCGCTGGGGCCGCTGCTCCCTCTCCTCTTCTGCAGCCGCCGCCGCCGCCCCCGGATCCCACTCCCGCCACCGCCACCCGAGCTGGAGCCGGAGCCGGAGCCGGAGCTGGAGCCGCCGCCTCTGCCGCTGCCACCACCGCTCCTGCCGCTCCTGCCGCTCCCGCGCCAGCTCCAGCCGCGCGCCCCCGCTCGGCCGCGCCCGCGCCCGCGCCCCTGCCCCTGCCGTGCTCGTTCCCGGCGCCGCCCCTCCCCTCGTGCACTACTTGCTCAGAGAACCGCGGAGCCAAGTAGGCCCAGCGAGGCCACAACGCAACCCAGAGTGTAAACCAAATGGAACTCCCAGTGTTGAACCAGAACCCCAATAATGAGCATGGACAGCCCCAAACTCCCTTACGAAGACCAGATCGTATTGGTGGTTCCCAATCCTAATATGAACCTGATACTACCCCATTTTCTCCCCATTTAGATCTGAATCTAATATTGAGCCCTGACCCACTCTCAAACTCAATATTGAGTTCAAACCCCTGAATCGCCCCGAAATTGCCCGAAGTAATGATTTAAATCTGAAGCCCCATATTGAGCCCAAATACAGTTCTGACTCTAAATCCCCTTATCATCTTTAACTACCTAAGCTTTAAGCTTGGTAGTGACAGTAGCACCAACCTGGTCCTTAAATAGATCCCAGTACTGAGCCCCCATTCCTATATGAACCCTAAAGTCCAATAGCTACCTTGTTATGGACTCCTGTACTCTTTTCCGAACTTCAAACCTAACGTAAAACTCCAATCCCAATTCCAGGTCAACGCCAACACACTTTCTGAATTGGGATGTCCCATTTCTTAATGTAGATTGGGTCACCAGAAAAGGACCTAACACAAATACTGACCTCAAACCCCACCCATCCTTGGGACCATTTAGGACCCTAACTTGACCCAACTCTAATAATAATAATAATCTTGAAACCCAAGATTAATGAGACTGGCTTTGCAGAAACTCCATGCAAATCCACCTCATCCCCATACTCACCCTATAATTCTCTGACCCGATGACAACCCCAACCCAGGCTGGCCAATACCCCGTTTTTATCAATTTCAACTGTGAACCTTAATCAAGTCTTGAGTTGGCCTTTGAGTTCAAGACTTGATAATGTCCCCCAAACCTGATATAAACCTTGGTATTGAGTTTCCGACTCCTCATAAAAAACTCATATGCTGACCCTATAAATTTCTGGGCTAAAACCGATAACGTGTGTGAAGATTTATTCTGAGCCCTAACTCATAGGGACTTGGGTGAGCTCCAAAGCTAGAATCACACCCTGACACCAAAGCCTCCAGCTTCAGACCCACCTTCCCAGTCCATGCTACCACCACATAAAAGTCAGCCCAAGTCATACCAGTCCTCTCTTACCCACCCACCCTCTTGAAAAATGGGGAACCTACCCCTACTGCCCTAGGTCAGGTGAGGACCCCTGTGGAATAACTGATTTTCTATGAGTCCTCTTTGATACCTCTGTGAGTTTGGGGGTCAGATGAGAAATAGACAAAGTCTGGGGATGGTTGAAGCATCTGGATTCAGGGATCACAGTGTAATGTGTAAATCAGGGGTGGAGGTAGGGTCTAACTTCCAAGGCTGAGGTCAAGTTCTGGTGATCATCTAATTCACTGCCTGTTTTTACCCAGGACTTGGATTCAGAAACAGTGCGTGTCCGCCCCCTGGTGTGTGAGAAGGGAATAGAACTGGCTCCAGTGATTCTGAACAATTAGATTCTGATGACAAACGGATCAAAAATGTATATTCCTAGTCAGTGGTTTTTTACCCATTGGTAATTTTGGTGTACTGTGGGGGAGGTATTAAACGTTTTATGCAGCTTTATACATTTTTGCCAGTGTTTTGGAATTTAGGGCGGGTTTAAGTTTCTATTTTGAGGTTTTTTGCCCTCAATTTTATAAAGTATACTTTTCAGTCATTTATGCCTGCTCATTGCTGACTTGTGGAAATAGTGCTTCCTTTTTGTTTCGATGACCTGGAATCTCCTCTCTGGCCACCTTTTCTCAGTCTCCTGCTCCTCCGGGGGTCTATCCTAGCCTGCCCCTTCTCTTTCTCTTCTTCCTGAACCATCTCAACCACCACCCACCATATACTATATTGATGGCTTCCAAGTCTGTCTCCAGTCTGGGCCTCTCTTCTGAGCTCAGGACCCACACAACCAAGAACCTTCTTCATACCACTCCCTGCATGTCCCTAAGGTAAACCAAATTCACTCTCTCACCCGCCTAGATCTGCTGGCCTTCAATAGTCCCTGTCTCAGATAGTGGCATCCTCCTTCACTCAGCCACAGGGCCAGAAATACCTTCTCTGCTGCGTCCACATCCAATCAGTCACCAGTCCTGCAAACCTTGAAAGACAGACTAGCGAGCATGTGGCTCTGAGGCACACATCAGCCAGAGGAAGGAGAGTGAGGAGAGAGGGGAAGAGAAAGGGAAAGAAGGGGAGGAGTGGGGGGAGAGAGACAGACAAACTTTCTGACTTTGGGTGTCGGATCACACAAAACCAGGTTGATCATAAAATCTCTTGCACATAGTCATAGGAAAACACCCCTTAAGACTTGCTCTATCTTGAGTGGATTTCAGTACCTTGGAAACAATGGTACCTGTTTAGAACCTTTCATTCCTCCAGGAAGTCATCCCTATGCCCTGGCTGGATTGGGGGTTTACCTGCTGAAGCTCTAAGCAGTAGGTGTCACCACTACCTACCTGTACCTGTGTCTGTGCCCCCACCCCACAGACTGTGGGTTCCTTGAGGGCATATCCCAGTGGCCAGCTTGGGAGCCTGACACACAGTAGGTACTCGATACCTACTTGCTAAAGGAATGGACAGGTAGATTTTCCTCTCCTATGCTTAGGGACCCATCAGACATTAAGTGACTAGGTGGAGAAAAAGCTCCCTGACCAAGCCTCAGAGCTTGCAGAGGCTCTGGTGTTTCCTGACTTTTATGTCTGTTAGCCTGGGATCTCAGTAGATCTGCAGCTCTGGCGGCCCTGTTCCCTCTGCCCAGCACTGCCGGTCTGTGAACACGATCCTTAGAAGGTCATTGGGCCAGGGACCTCCCACCCCTGTGGCTGAAATTGGCAAACCCACTCATTGCTCTGCTGATCAGCTCTTGCTTCAACCCCCGTGAGGACGCAGGGGTCTCAGAACCTCCACCCAGTGGTCTGCAGGCCCTGTTCACCAACCTTTTGGTACCACCTTTGGTCAAGTGTTTGCTGAGGCAGGGTATGAGAGTGCCTGTGAGCAGGCTGCCCAGGTCTCAGCATGCCCATCACCTGGAACTAGACACAAGGCCGCGGTAAAAAACCAGAGGCCCAGGCCCTGGCCCCAGGGCCACACAGACAAAGGACCTCAGGTGGCCGGGCCTGTGAGCGCATGACAACCACAGAAGGAGAGGAGCCCAGGCTCTGTCCAGACTGCCAAACTCTGAGCTTGGGGTCCGTGTGGGTCTGACCTGCTGCCCTGCTCCTGGGCCCGGCGGGGAGGGACGTCCTTGTGCTCATCTGTGAAGGCCAAGTGGTACCACGTGGTAGTTCTGTGTCTGCCGTGTTCCTGCCCCAGGGTGCAGGGTGAGGGGAGAGCCAGATGTCAGCTCCCCATCACTGTTCTCCCTTTGTCCAGGTCCTGAGCCCACTGGATACTCTGCTCCTACTCATGATGTAAATACATCGCTCAGTTGGTCTGAATCAAATGAAATCCAGCTTGAATTTCATATCACTCCCAGCCTCCTTCACTTCCCTCCCACTGTCCAAGAACTCCAGGGGGTGGCACAGCCCCAAGGGTGGTCAGCCTGTGCTCCGCAGCTTTGTAGGGACCCTCGTTGCTGTTGCAAACATTAGCTGTCTGGGGCTCCCACTATTTGTCCCCTATCTGCAGGATCTCATTTTTCCAGCCCAGTCCTTGGGAAGGGGACCCTCTCCCCAACTCTTTTCATCTCAGGCTCTTTCAAGTGGGTCTCTCCTGAGGACCCACATAGTTGCAGCCCTTGGTCCTTGGCATTTGTGGTGACACAGCCACGTCCCTGGGGGGCCATTCCAGGGTGGGATGGGAGAGCCTGTTCTGCCCCTCACTTCCATGCTGGAGAGTCAACCCCCTAACAGGCACAGGTGTTCTCCCTCTTAGCCAGTCAGGAGATCTGACACCAGAAAGGCAGAACAGTCTGTTTACCTTCTCAGGTGTGGGGTGAGAGAGAAATGGCCCATGCCTCAACACAAAAGTCCAGCTAAGACCTTTCATTCCTTTCTGATGAGTCACTGGGAGGGGGGAGGGGATGAGGCAGGGGTTAATTTCTCAGAACACTCTGCTGGTGACTTCAGCTCCAACTTCGCTGAGAAAACAGCAGCCTTCGGAGGAGGACTTCCTCATCTCCCCACTACCAAACCACCATCCGCACCTTCCTCTGTCTTCCCCCTGGTTCCCAGGAGCATGTGCCCCTCACGGTGGAGGCTGGTCCCCAGGATGCTTTTGCTCCGCCAGGACTTTGCTTCTCTCCCCTCTCTCTTCCCATCCTCTTTGCTATATCATTCCCATAAACTCACAGTTATTCTTAATTCTTTCCCATCCTAAAAAATAATCTGCTTCCTTGACCCTCTCGCGCCTCCCTACCCGAGTGGGAGAGACTGAGCATTTCTCTGCTCTTCTCACAACAAATCCAAGAGCTGTTTATAGGAGAAGGCTCCACTCCTCCATCCCCTGCTCGCACTCAGCCCACTACGGCTTTCAGGACCAGCACTCCACTGAAATTGCTCTTGACATAATGACATTCACCTCCGTTTTGCCAAATCTAATGACTGTGCCTCTGTTTTCAGCTTAGTGGACTTCCAAGGGGTTCACTACTTCCTGCCATCTGCCTGGGTTGCTTCAGTGCCACAGAAGGCAGACCAGCTCCTTGACTCCTCATCACAGTGGCGATCTCCTACAGGCCACTTGGGCCACCCATTCTCACCATCACACCCTTGTCCCCAGCCCTAACCACACCTTGGCTGCTCCCACCTTGCT